ATAATAATTAATAATAATTTAATTCTCTACACAATTGTCTGTATTTTTCTAAATACAGACAAATTTGTCTGTATTTTGCAATTGTGTAGAGAATTTTACTGAGACTTATTTGGAGAAGTCCTTGAGTGATTCCACCTTTCTTGAGTACTCCCCTCCCTTCTTCTAATAACCAAATAAGTACAGGCCACCAAGAGAAGGTTTTGGTCTTAGCTCTAAGAGAATCTCGAGTTCTGTGAGAGGGCTCTGGTCCTCCTGGAGCCCTGAAATAATTCTGTTTGTCTCTTTTTATTTAGTCTTTGCCATACACTCATTCAGGAGATTGCAGATCGGAGATCGGTCTGCCCTCTGATCACCTTGCAATAACTAAGGGATATTATTAACCTGATAATACCCAACACTCAAAGTTAAAGGAGGAAAGGTTTATTGTAGCTCTCAATTTCTAGAGGTTCCAGTTCACAATTGGTTTGCCCCAAGGGTAGGTGGCATAGCAGAGGGGTACCATAGAGGAGACACTGTTCATAGTGGGCAGAAGTCAGCAAAGCAATGAAGTAGTGAAGCACTACTAGCAGAAACCAGCCTCTCCCTTTTATACCTTCCAAGCTACCTGCCCTCTGGGTGGTGCTCCCCACACCCAGAATAGGCTTTCCCATTATCCATACCCAGAAATATACCAAACCAATCAGTGGACTAATTTCGGTATCACATACCCTTAGTCCAAGCAACACACAACCTAGATCCAGCCACCTCTGAAAACCCCACTTATGACTACATGAGGCTTTGTGGGGATGTCTAGATATAAGCCATAATAGAGGCTAATAAGAATAAGGGCTCAGGGCACTTCTTAAATTTCAAAAAAGCTCCCTCTTCATGGGGCTATGGATTATTGATCCTTTCAAATTAAACCAAGGACCTTTTAGGTGATTCTTAACACTTGGCTTTTATCTCTCTTCTGTGTCAGTACAAATTGGCTCCAAAGACTGAATGACATCCACTGCAGCTCTTGATAGGAGACTTCCCAGGGTAGGTCCATGGCAGAAACATGTCTCTGATGTAGGCAGGTGACAATTCTTAATGATTACCATGGAGCCAGCACAGTGCTGGCCTCCTGACATGTACGAATTCATTGCCTTCTTTCAACAATTTCCTGTGGTGGGTCTGCAGTAGCCTGGGGCTCCCTCCCACACACCCTCCAGGTGGCTTGGCACCAGCCATCCCCAGATGACATGTCCACAGAGCCAGGTCAGGGAAGAACAGTGAGGGCCTCAGGCAGTAGCAGTACATTGTACACAAATACATGCCCAGGGTCAGGAGGTGCCCCAGGCTCTCTCCTAGCCCGAATGATCCCTGATCACATAGGAACTGAGTGTCCCCAAGCCCCTTACATGGCCTATAAATCCCCAAGATGAGAGAGTACATGAGGGACAGTTGGTGCTCCACGTCCAGCCAAGCCTCCACACCCTGTTCAGTAAGTCCTGCTTCTCCAGCCTCCTCCTAGGATGCCAGGGCGGGTGTTGTGCCCCCTCTCACCTAGCTCAGTATCCCTCTCCTCACAGGGAAACCAAGGAAAACTGTTCATTATTGGCAGAGCCAGGACCTGAATCAAGGAAGCCACGCATCAGCCATCCTTCTGGGCAGACTCAGGGAGAGGAACAGCCTCAGTGCAGCTCCCAGCATAGTAGGCCCTCAGGGTGAGCACTAGGGTGGGGGTGTTTGGTGCTTTTTCCTCCTAGGCCAGGACATCCCCTGAGCCCTTGGTGCCCCCAGGCCTCAACCCAAAGAGGTCTAAAGAGTGGCCTGGGCAACACTGGCCTTGCCCCAGTGAATCCTCTACCTTTGTCTTTGCACCCAGGTCATCCTGTCGAACCCAGACTGAGTTGGGACACAAATTGATTACAGGTGTGTGCTACCACACCTGCATAACTCTAATGTTTCCTTATTGATTATGGGTCTGGTTGACCTTTATATTTGTGAAAAGAGTGTATTAAAGTCCCCTACTATGATTGTTTTAGTGTCTATCTACCCTTCTATGTCAAGTAGTTTTATGTGATGAGTTTGCTGACATTCAGTGCATGTGTGTTTACAATCAGTGTATCTTCTTGCTAAATCGTTCCCTCTACCAATGTGTGGTGATCTTTTTAACATTCTTTGTCTGTTCTGACCAGTTTTGGTTTGAAGTCAACTTTGTAAAAAATTAGAATAGCTACATCTGCTTGCATTCATTTTCTGGCTCCTTGGAGTATCATTTTCTGTCTTTTCATGTTCTGTCTGTGTTTTTTTGTAGATGAGGTATGTGCTTCAGGGCAACATATATCAGGTTTTGGTTTTTGAGCCAATTTACTAGTTTGTGTCTTTTTATTGGAGACTTGAGACCATTTACATTGAGTGTTATTATTAAAAGGTATATACTGATTCCTGGCAGTCCTTGTATGTTTTTTATTTTTTATTTTATTTTATTTTTTTTGGTTTTTCTCCGGTACCGGGAACCGAACTCATGACCTTGCGCTTGCCAGGCAGGCGCTTTTGCCACTGAGCTAAATCCCCAGCCCCCTTGTATGTTTTTTAAATGCTTGATTCCTTTTTTAAAAATTTTCCTTATCATTTAACTACTCTCCCAATGAAACTTATTCTTTTTTTCAGACTCTTGGGTATTGTTGCTCTCCTTGTCTCTTTCAGGATTCCTTTGCATATTCTGGTTTGGTGGTCATCAGTGATTTTAGTTTATCTTAAGAGGTCTTTGTTTCTCCATCAGTTTTGAAGGATAATTTCACAGGATATTGAAATCTGAATTGGAAATTATTTTCTTTTAGAGGCTGAAAAGCTTCATTCCAAACACTCTTGGCCTTTAGGTTTTGTGTTGAGAAATGTGTTGTTATTCTGACGGGTTTGAAATGTTATAATTTGGCATTTTTCCTCTAACATCTTGTAATATTCTCTTTGTCTTGACTATTTGGAAGTTTGACTATAATGTGTCATGTAGAAGTTCTTTTCTGGTCCTGTCTATTTGGGGTTCTAAATGCTTTATTTACCTGGGTATCCATCTCATTCTCTATATTTGGAAAATCTTCTGTAATAATTTCAGTGAATAATTTTACACAATAAGTCTCTGCCTCTACACTTTCTTCAGGTCAGTGATTCTTCAGTTTGTTATTTCAAAGTTACCTAAGGGGCCAGGAATATGAATCAGTGGTACAAGTGTCTGCCTGGCAAGCACAATGTCCTGAGTTTGATTCCTGTACCAAATAATAATAATAATAATAATAATGTCATCTATGACTTCTTCATCTTTCTTTTATTGTCTCTGCTATTTTTCAGTGTTACTGAGTAAATGTTACTTCATCAAGATTATTCTCAAGTCCTGATATTCTGTCTTCTGACTGATCTTGCCTATTGCCAAAATACTCTAGATTTTCATTTCCAGGATTTCTGCTTGATTCCTTGTCATAACCTCTACTTCTTTATTGATGTGGTCTTTTATGTCCTGTATTGTCTTTCTTACTTCATTCAGCTGCCTATTAGTACCTTCTTTAAGATCATTGATCATCTTGGAGACTGATACTTTCAATCGCTATTTATGTCTTCCTTAAATTTATTGGTCATCTTAGTAAATGATTCATTCAGCTCTTTATCTTTTCTTTGATCTCATCAATCACTTTAACTGTTAGTTTTTAAAGTTCTTTGTCTGGAAACATCCATTTAAGTGTCTTTGAGAAGTGCTTTTGTGGAGTTACAAATTTTTGGAACATTTTTTGCATTTTTTTCTTATTAATATTGTGTTTTTATATTGCATATTATAGATCATCTCTTTCAAATTCTCCAATTTATTAGAATGTGTTTTCAAAATAATTTCTTACAATCTTCTATGGTGTGAGTAATTTTTATACCATCAGTGTCTACCTCTACCCCTTCTTCAACATCAGTGATTCTTGAGTTTGTTCTTGTACAGTCTCCTAGGAGCTCCTGTATCTTTTGTATTATCTCTTGTTTTTTCAGTGTTTCTGAGTAAATGTTCCTCCTACTCCAAAGTCTTACTGCCCTTGATTTTCTGCTAGTCATGAAAGAGATAATAATACAGAGTCCACTAAAAAATGTATACATCAGGGAAAGAAAAACTTGTATAAATATTTTAATATTAAGTTATTGAGACATCATGAGATTAACACAAGTTATCTTTGGCCTCTATATTATAAGAAGTGCTCAAAGTGGTAGCCATTAGCTTTCACAAATTTAGTAGTATGGAAAACTGCAGAAGTGTACATACACTTTTTGGGCAGACTGTATTTATTAGCTCTTTATATAACTTCCTGCCCAATATCTCCTCTACTTTTTCTTTATCTGAGTTCATGGTCTCAGTCCCACCTGTTTTCCCCTCGCTGGTCTTGAAGCCTGGGAGTTGACAATACCCACCACTGTTTCTGCCAAGAACTATCGTATGAGATCATATCTGGGAATGAGCTTTGATAGCTACATTTATTTGACTTAGTTCCTCCCAACATTCCTATAATACTGTACAAATTTTCCTTGTGCTGGGAAAGAAATCAGGACCTTGCAAGATTAAGCATGTGCTGCACCACTGTGTTACACACACAGCCACACAACCCTCAAAAATGTGCCACCGGTAAACACCATTGTCAGGTTAGCTTTCCACTCTCCTAACACTGCACACTGGGGACTGGACTGGAACCTGAGTTTCAGAGGGAACAAACTATATTTGTGATAGCAGATGTTGGTGTGGACAGTGCAAGGTGCGGGCTGGACACATTAAGATGGTTAGGGAATGGAGGTCGCTTTTACATGATGTCCATCACCGGTCAATAGGCATTGTAATGGGCCCTGAAGCAAGGTTTGGCCTTCCCTTCTCTGTCTTGCAGGACAATGTCATCCTGTATCTCTAGAGGCCTCCTCATACTAGCTGGCTTGTGTTCCCTCGTTCCTGGCTCCCAGGCTGAAGATCCTGAAGAAATGGATGCATCTGTTCATGACCACGAGCTCCATCAATACCTATTCTGCCATAATATCTTCTACAATGTTGTTGATTTCGCCTTTAACTTGTACCGGGAGTCAGCCAGTTGGTCAAAAACTAGCAATGTTTTACTGTCCCCAATGAGCATTATGGCTGCCTTTGCAATGCTCTCCCGGGGGACCAGGGGGGGAACTCACATACAGATCCTGGAGGGCCTGAAGTTCAACCTCAGAGAGACCCCTGAAGCTCACGTCCACCAGTGCTTCCAGCTTCTCCTCCACATCTTCCAGCATCCTGACCACCAGCTCCAGCTGACCATGGGCAGCAGCCTCTTTGTCAGAGATAGTCTCATGCTCCTTGAGCAGTTTGTGCAGGATGTCAAGGAGCTGTACAACTCAGATGTTATCTCCATCAGCTTCAGGGACACGCGATTCGCCAGCAAACAGATTAACTATTATGTGGAGAAGGAAACCCATGGAGAAATAGTGGATTTGATCAACGATCTGGAGGAAGACACGGACTTCATCCTGGTGAATTATATTTCCTTGCATGGTATGTAAGGATTCCCAGCCTTAGGTGGCTTCTGTGAAATAATCCACATGCGCTCCAACCCTCACTGCTTATACTTCCCTTGACAGTTCAGTGTGGAACAGAGCAGGGTGTCCCAATTTGAGTTCTGTAATAGTCAACTCAGATACAATGAAACAATATCTGTGAACCAGCAAGACTGGGGAGTGAGGAGTTAACACCAATCACATCTCCATTTTCTCTGTAGGACTCGCTAGAGCCTTTGTTGCTCTAAAATACAATGAAAATATCAGTAAGAGAGGAGTGTAGAACACAATGTTTTTCTAACTAGAGACCTGTAGATACAAACTGGAACAGATGTCAAAGAGAGTAGTGTATCCTAATTTAAACAACTCGAGAGTCATGGAAGAATGAAGGCTTTGGAGTGTGAAAGACTCAGGTTCAAATCCTGCCTCCACCACTCATTAGTTTTGATATTGATTGTGTCATTTTACTTCTTAGAGATGGCATTTTCTTTTCTTATCATATACAAAATAAATACCATTGTTGTCAAGTTTTGATAGGTTAATAAAGTTACATAATACATGGGTCTGGGTGCAAATCTGTGCCCTTGTTATCAAGTGTTGAAAAAATTCATCAAGTTTTATAGTATATAGGGGCACACAGAACTGAGCACAAGCCTTTATCCTCAGCCTGCCCTCCTGCCTCTGAGTATGGGAGGGCTAGGACCCTATGGATCCCAAGTTCTAAGGCAGCATCCTGGGAAATAGCCTGGAAGAGGGAGGTGGGATCAAGGCCAAGCCTGCTGCCCCCTCCTTACCCCCCCCATCTCTGGGCAGAGTGCAGCAGTGCAGAGCACCCAGGCCACAATCAGCATAACTGAGGTCCCAGCTCTGCTGTGACTTGGGGCAGTTCCTGTCCCCTTTCCAGTCTCGTCACCTCTTCCTGTCCAATGAGAAAGGTGGGATCAGGGTCCCAGAGTCCCCTGCCCACGCTGTTGGCCTGGAAGCAGAGACACCCTAGTACAGCAGAGGGGAGGTGGCCCAGGCCTGACCACTTCACATGCTTCCCAGAAGAAAGCCTCAGGGTGTTTGTCCTGAGTGTGGGCTGAAGTACCCATCTGTCAGGAGAGGAAGCCTCCAAGAAAGAGTAGCCAGGTATGACTTAGGGACTTCTGTTTATGCCTAGTAATTTTCATTAGTACCTTTAATCCTTGAGCAATTACATATAAAATCTAAATAAAGATGCTTCTTTGGAGCCAGCTTGTCACAAATCAGCTTGAGCATATCCAAATTCCAGGCTCTCCTCCTGCTTAAGATTATTTCCATAACAGTCCTTCCGCAAATGCTTGTCTTTTAATCCCATTTCACAGATGACCAAGGTGAGTCTCAGAGGGCAGTGACTCAGGAGGGACTCAGGCTCCCCTCCTCTGACACACTTTCCTCACCCTTAGTCCCACCCCTGCCTGATGTCTCTCTCCAGAAAAGTGGACTTCTCGGCTCCAGGCTGAATACATTGTGGAAGAAGACTTCTATGTAGATGAGGAGACAGCCGTCACGGTGCCCATGATCATTCGCCTGGGTATATTTCTCCTGACCCGGGATGAGGAGCTGTCCAGCTGGGTGCTGATCCAGCACTCTGTGGGTGACGCCATAGCCTTCTTCATCCTGCCTGACACAGGGAAGATGCAGGAGCTGGAGGAAGGCCTGACCCAGGAACACTTTAATAATATTCTGGAAACTATGGATGAAAGGTGAGGTCCCAGTACAGGAACCAACCTAGGATCTCTCAGCCATGTCAAGACTGAGGCCCTAGTTGGGAGTGGTGGCTAGCTGGGAGGGCGGTTTATTGGCCCCCAGGAGCTGATGTCCTCAAGCCTGCACCACAGAGGACTCACATTTGGCATCAGATATGAGCCTATGCCCAGAGGTGCTGTTTAATTGTGCATCTTACGGAAGGAATATAAAAGTGCACAGCTGTGAAGCTGCACTGTGAACAGAAGTGTCGCTAGTGTTTCCCCCAGGCCTGTGAGGGCTGAGAAAAGAGCAAGGTCAGGCTGGGACCTGCTACCCACCTTCTCCTCACCAAGTGTAGGGACGACAAAACTCCAACATAGCAGGGTAGCTTCTCCTCCTGCTGTGGAGGGGACAGGGCACTAAGGAGGCACAAGCAGAAAGGACACACGCTGGATCCCAGCAGAACATGAGAAATGCTGGGAATTTCCTTCCTGTTCTCTCACGCCTGCCAGGTCCGCCAGGATACATTTTCCCAGACTGTCCATGTCCGCAACCTATGATCTGAGGAGCATTCTGCGCACACTGGGCATCACCAAGGTCTTCAGCCAGGAAGCCGACTTCTCAGGGGTCACGGAGGTGGCACCCGTCAGTCTCTCCACGGTGAGGTCACCCAACAACAGCGTTGTCCCTGGTGTCAGGAGAGCAGAATGAGTTTGGGGGAGCAGCTCAGGCGTGTGGCTGAGTGAGGAATCAAGGGACACAGACACGGTGCAGGCCAAGCTCATTCCCAGGACTCATGGAATTAAGTGGGATGGGATGGGCCCAGAGGATGGAGTTAAGGAAGTGGCTTCCTGTACTGCTAACACTGCAGGGGCATCCCCTGAGGACCTCACTCATCTTTTTCAGGGTCTTTGGGTCTTTGGGAATCAATTGACCCATATTTACTTCAAAGAATGTTCTAGAATCTTCTTTCGTCTATGCACTTTAGAACAGTTGGTGAAACACCAGGTCTGATTTGTGAGTTCAGCTAAAGAGGCCTATTGTTTAGGGAAATTAAAGAGGACCGGGACTGGGTGCAGGCTGTGCACTCATGGGGTCCCATCACTGAGAAGGTCACCAGCAGAGTTCTCATCCCAGGAGCTCATCACCATACACTGGAGAGGGGAGACTTGTGAGAGGACATGGCCTCCGCATAGCTGTCCCCTTCTAAATATAACAGGTGCAGCTAGGATGGGAGAGATGGGGGTCAGGAGGGAAGCAGAGGACAGCGGATGAGGCCAGGCAAAGGCTGAGAGGGAAAGTTCTGGTGTGGCCACGCAGCCCAGGGGCTGTGAACAGGGCAGGACCACCAGGAGGAGAAAGGCTTTCTTGAGGCTGACCAGGAAACATCTTACACTCAGGACTTGTCTCTTGTCTGTGGTGGGAACAACCCATCCTCAGAGCCTGCCTCTGCCTCTCTCCCCTCCAGGCTGTACATAAGGCGGTGCTGATCATTGATGAGAGAGGGGCAGAGACTGTACGGACCTCTCATTCTGACGACAGGGCCTGGTCAGAGGCCCCCACCATCAAGTTCAACAGGCCCTTCTTTCTCTTCATCAGGGAGGAAAACACCAACATTCCGCTCTTTGTTGGGAAAGTGCTGAATCCCATGCAGCAGTAGCTGCCTCAGTGCTCCTTGACCCCTCAGGAAGGTCTCCTTCCTGGGTGACATTAAAGAGATGCTGATCTGGTCACCAATTCTTCTCCTGTGTCTGAGTCTTGCTTTGAATTCTCAGGTTATGAGTGGAGGTCACAGTGTGTCTCAGGGTCACTTCGCCCATGTGTGTGGGGGCCCCTGCTGTGCAGCCTGTGCTGGGAAGGACAACTGGGGCTGCATCCTCATCCTACAGGCCCTGGGCCCCTCTGCTGCTGCAATCTCCAGTCCTGCCTGGGAATACGAGGGGGCTGTGTGGCTCAGATGCCAGCTCAAGGCTGCAGGATCCACAAGCATACTCTATCGCCCAGTGAATCCACCCCCATACACACACAGGGTCCCCGCTGCCCACACTGTGTCCCCCCTGCAGGCTGGCCAAGCCCACCCACTGCCCCTCCTGTGCTCCCAGAGCTGCCAGCTCTGTACCTGGCATGGAGCTGCTGCATCTCCAGCCACACCACCTTCCCACTGTGTCACTGCATACGGCATGGCTCCTACCTCCCACAGGCACCTCCTGAAACCAGCAGCACTAGATCATCTGTCGGGCCCTTCCTCCCCGGGGCTGGGCAGGGCACTGACCACAGCCCTTCTCCCTCCATCACCCCCCAGGAGCCTCGCCCATCTCCTCAGAGGAGCAGCCCCTCTCCCCAGTGCAGGTGAGGCCTGAGTCTCGGCCTCTGCCCCTTCTCAAACTCACCATGGCCACCAGGCCCAAGGCCATCTACCCTCTATTCCTTCTCCTTCCTGGACACGTGGCCATGACACCATGGGTGGCTCTGTGAAGTCATGACCAAGTGCCCTACGCCATGGAGGAGGAAGAATACCACCACCAGCTCCCCAGGGTGCTCCTGCTGCTGCTCGTTCCAGAGCTCTTCCTGGGACCACATGTATCGCCACGGCCTCCCGTGGGGCTGGTGACATGGCATTAGTCCCTCCTGAGATGGCCTTGTCACACTGCCACACTGCTGCATCCTGGGCTCCAAGACCCTGCTGAATGGCTGCAGCAGCCAGGAGCCCACTGGGCCTGGCAGGGTCCCCCTCTGGCCGGACTCTCCTTGGGGTCCCTGCACTGGCCCTCCGAGCTCATCTGGGAACCGCCATCTGCCCACTCATGGGACAGGTGGGGACAAACTGCACATGGATGGGGAATGCCATTGTTGTATTTTAGGTCCAAATTGTCAAATGTGTCCGTTTTCACATGCTTCAGAAATGGAAGGACAGCCAGGGGTTCTGCTCTGTCCTGGGAAAGACGAGAGGAAGCAGCGTGGCAGCACCCAGCTCAACAAGGCCATGAAGTAATGAGCTCTCACCCCAGGAAACACGCAGCTCTGTGGGCTCGAGCGCAGTGGCTACCAAGGCCAGCCTGGGGTCAGCGTGCGACACAGACCCTTCCCAAGCCCGAGAAATGATCACCGAGGACCGTGACCATCCTGCTACCCTGAGTCCTGTGAGCGGAGGACTGTCTCATGTCCTGCACTGGGTTTTTACACCAAGGAGCCCTTTGGTGACATAGCATTTGCCTCTTATGTCCCTGCTGTACCAAAATGAACTATCCTTGGAGCTGGAACAAAGCACATTGCAGACCACATGGGAGACTCCCTAGGGCAGATCCATGGGGAAAGACACTCAGGGATGCGGCAGGTGACAATTATTAACCATCACCACAGAGCAGGCGCACTACTAGGCCCATGATCTCTTCTCAGCCACTCCTGCAGTGGCTCTGAGGTCCCCCGCCCCCAGGTGGCTTGGCACCAGCTAGCTGTGTGCACAAAGCCGGGTCAGGGAGGACAGCAAGGGCCTCAGGCAACAGCAACACGTTGTGCACAGACGCCTCACAGGATCAGCAGAGGCCCCAGGCTCTCGGCCCGCACAGAGGGTCACAAAGAAACTGAGTGTCCTTATATCCTTTTTGTGGCCTATAAGTCCCCAAGACCTAAGAGTGCATGGGGAACAGTCAGTGCTGAGCATTCAGCCACAGCCTCCCGTGGCCTCTGTGCCCTGCTCAGTAAATCCTGCTCCAGGGGCCTGAGCTGCCAGGGTGAACCTGTGAGCCTCGCTGCAGAGTTCAGCCTCCTTGCCATTCCATACGTTGAAACTGAGGCACAATGAAGCTTCTATGGCAGAGCCAGGACCTGAGCCCAGGCTGTACATTAGACATCATTCTGGGCAGAGTTGGGTGGTTAAAGCACTCACCCTGCAGCTCCCAGTACATAGTAGGTCCACAGGGAGAGCACTAGGGAAGGTGCTGGCTTAATGCCTCTTCCTCTGTGTGGTGCTTTCCAGGCCTGGATAGGCCCTGCACCCCTGGGGTCCCTGACCTTTCCCTGCAGAGAGTTGAGGAGCAGCCTGGGCAGGGCCTGCCTCTGCTCCAACGACTCTGACAGTGCAGGGTCTTGCCCCTCTGCTCGCTGAGCCCTGCTTTCCTGCTCAAGGAGCCTGAGTCCCTGATCTACTCATGGAACTCTTGGTCCAAAAGGGAATGTGGACTGAGCAGCTCCTCAGATAACCTGGTTTCTTGTACTCTGCCCTCCTCTCCTCTCTATTATCTACATCCAAGGCCGTGGTTTACCTCTGTGTGTCCTCTCTCAATGCTGATGCTGGGAGTTTGCAAAACCCAGCATGCTCTCCCCCAAGACCCACCCTCTCAGCTCATATCCAGGTGTCAGATTTGATGGTTACATTTATTTCATTTCATTCCCCACCATACTATCTTGGAGATGAGTTTTGGAGAGCCTTAAATATCTGCTGTTTTCGTCACTTTCTTGTTGTTGAGATAAGCCTTGACACCTGCATATTAAAAGAGAAAACTTCAATTTGGTTCACAGTTTTTAGAGGTTTCAGTCCATAGTCTGGTGACTCCAAGTCAGGGTAGCATGGCAAAGGAGCATGGCAGAAGAGAAATAGTCCATGGAATGGTGGTCAAAGCTGAGAACAAGATCAAAAGAGGAGGGAGGGAGATAGACCCTTGTAGGAACTCGGTCTCTCAGTGGTCCCCAGGAGAAAATGGCTAGGGAATTTAGAAAATAAAGACAAGAGACAAGAGCTGGGGTCAGGTGGAGTGGCCTCTTTATCTGATGGGTGAGAGAACCTGAACAACAACACTGCAAGCCTTTATTTCTACTCTTGCAAAGTTAGTATCACAAGATACAAGGTTGCCTAGTGACTAATGACTGAAATTGTCCAGGCAGGATGCTTTTCTCAAGACTGAGATAGCTTGACTGCTTTAGGCACTGTGGCTCTGTCTTGCCCCGACACATATGACCAATTTCCAACTCCAGCCACTCCCACCAGGTTCTTCCAAGCCAGAACCTGGTCACCCACCTCCTCCATCCAGACTTCACCTCCCAGCATCATTTAGCTGTAAATTCACCAGTGGACTAATGCACTGATGAGTATCACTTAGCCATTATCCAATCATTCCCCAAATCACCTATGAGCAAATGAGACTTTGGGAAGACATCCAGATATAAATTGTAACATTCTACCCCAGCCCCCAAAAGATTGATGGGCATCCCTTCATGCAAAATACAGTTACTCTATCTCTAAGAGTAGCTAGAATCCTAACAGTTTCAGCAGTTTGCTGAGAAGTCCAAATCCAAAGTCTCCCTGAGATTTCAGGCAAACTCTTACCTGTGAGCACCTGTAAAAATGAAAAGAAAGTTAAATACTTTCAGTGTACAGAGGAACAGGGTAAACATTCCCATTCCAAAAGAGGGAAATAAAAGGATAGAAAGGAATGGGGCCAAACTAAGGCCAAAACCCAGCAGGACAAACATTAAATCTTGTAGTTCCATATCCAGAATGCTGGGAAAATTGCAGTGAGATGTGGACTCCAAAGGGCTTAGTTTGCTCCATCCCTATGGTACCACCAGTGGTTATAGCTCTCATGACCTCTCCTGGGCTGGCTTTCCTCATTACTTGCAACTTTTTTCAGACGATCCATGCTCCTGGTTTCTGCAACTTTCTGGGGTCTCCACTGCACTTTCAGCTTCACACAACTTCGAGAACTGCTCTGTCAGGAACACACTGCCTGGCCTCTCAGGGCTTCTTCTGAAATCTGGGTGGAAGCCTTTCTGACCCCACAACTGTTGCATTCTGCATGTCTATAAAACCAGTGCCACATAGATGATGCCAAGGCCTGCCACCTGAACCGTAGACTAGCCCTTCTGTATCTTGCTGGTGGTTGCAGAGGCCTCTGAGTACTTGGATAGATGAACACAATAAATTGAATCCTGAGGAATTATTTCACATTCCCTAGGTTGCTGCTCTTCTCAAAGCAAAATTTCACTTTTCCACTTTAGGGTCTGTGAAGGACAGGGTTTTCAGATACCTCTCTGCCCCCAGTGCATTCTTTGTATTGTTCAGATCCAAAGAACTTGGCTTCTTTTTAATGCTGATCTTTAAAGCAGCCAACCTCTCTTCTACTCCATCTTTGCAAGCCCCTATAGAACTATAGCTTCCTTTCTGGCCAAACTCCAAAATTTAAAATCATTCAGTTGTGTTTTGCCCTTGATTCTCAAGGTAAAACTGGCTAAAAGCCCCCAACAGTACCTGAACCTAAGGCTGAACATTTGACTGCCTTGAAACTTCCTCCTCTAGATTAAATAGTCCACTGCTCTTTAATCTTGGTCTCCCTCAGTGTTTCAGAATAGGAACAAAATGTAGACAAATTTTCTGCCAGAGAGTAACACACATGCCTTGGAGCAAGTGCCAATAGAATCCTTGTTCACAACCAAAACCTCCTGAGCCTGGTCTCTACACCTGCATTACTGTCAGCATTCTGGTCTTCTGAGTTTCAACCAGAATATCCCACTAAGCTGGCTCACAGCATTCTAGGGCTGCTTCTCCATCTGGCCTTTCCAAACCTTTCCAAACTTCTCCTATAAGCCAGTTCCAAAGGCTTCTGAACTGTAAGAAATAGAAATTTAAAGTGATCCATTTTCAAGACAATGTGTTTAACTCTGGAAAGCTACTTGTACACAAAATAGCCTACTTGTCTGGAGGCGTGTTTGAGGTAAAGCATCTGAAAGGGTCCCTAAAC